CACTTTATTTATTTCTTATGATTTGCTTCCTGGCCGTGAAAAGATTACCCTAGCTGATGGCTCACTTGCTCCTATCTCTGGCAAGGGAACCATCAAGGCTATAAACTCCCTTTCTCTTCCATATGTTCTTCATGTTCCTAAACTGAATACTAATTTATTATTTGTGAGTAAATCCTTGAACTTCAGTGTAACCTTCTTTCCTTCTTATTGTGTTTTTCAAGACCTGAAGTCTCAGAAAGTGATTGGGAGTGGCCATGAGGCGAATGGAATATACTTGTTGGATACTCCTGGACAAAGCCAAGGACAACCTGGGAAAGTTGCTTTTGGATCTATCTCTTTAGAGTCCTTTAGTCGTGTCATGTTATGTCATTTTCGTTTGGGTCATTTATCTTTTTCTGCTTTGAGCCATYTATTCCTAGAACTGTTTAAGGGAATTAACTTGTCCAATCTTCATTGTGAGTCCTGTGAGTTGTCAAAACATTGTAGAAACAATTATCCTTTGAGTAATAAAATATCATCTTCTCCATTCCATATTGTGCACTCTGATTGTGGGGGCCATACCACTTACCCTCTATGGGAGGCTATAGATATTTTATCTTGTTCATTGACGATTTCTCACGATATATTTGGTTATTTTTTATGAGATCCCGAGATGAAGTTCCCAAACTTGTGAGACAGTTCCATGAATTTGTTCTTACCCACTTTGGTACTAGAATCAAAATATTCAGATCTGACAATGCAAATGAATACTTTGAGAAAAACCTAACCTCTTATCTCACTGATTTTGGGGTTATTCACCAGAGTTCCTGCATTCGTACTCTAGAACAAAATGGAGTTACTGAGAGGAAGAACCATCACATAGTTGAAGTTGCAAAAAGTATCATGTTTGCCTCACATGTCCCTACAAGATTTTGGGGGGATGTTGTTCTCACTGCAACCTACCTAATTAACCGTATGCCATCCAGAGTGTTGGGTTTTAAGTCTCCCTTTATCCTCCTTCATCCGGGTAAGGACCTTTTTCCTATCCCCCTTCGTGTCTTTGGCTATACTTGTTATATATACATCCCGAGTGCCCAAAGACATAAATTTGAACCCAAGGCCCACAAGTGCATATTCCTTGGTTATGCCTCCACACAGAAGGGTTATTGCTATTTTGATCCAAACACCAGAACTCGTTATGTTTCAATGGATGTTACCTTTGATGAGTCCACTCCTTTCTATGATTCTTCTCTGGGGAAGCATTGTTCAAAAAGGGAGAATTTGTCATAGTTGTTTGCACTCCCCCTTCCTGTCCCTGTTGAGTCTCCTCTTGAACCTTCTTCTATTCTTAATGAGTCAAGGGAGGAACAACCATCTCATATTCCTTCCAATATTCCTATTCCTCCTCCATTACCTCCTCGTCCCCCTCTTTAATCCTAGATGGTACTAGCAGCAAAGAACCAAAAGTGAGCAGATTGTTTCCTCTACATCACATGAGCCTCCTACGCTTCCAGTTACTGAAGAGACAACAGGTACTGATACTATCCCTTTGCAACCATCCTTCCTAGATCTTGATGTCCCTATTGCTATGAGGAAAGGTAAACGRAAGTGTACTGCACATTGCATTTCCAAACATCTTTCCTATGGTCTACTTTCCCCTTCATATTATGCTTTTCTTTCTTCTGTTGCTTGTAACCCTATATCCAAGTAGTATCAGAAGCTCTTATTTTTCTAGAATGGAGGTGGGGTGCTATGAGAACTGAAATAGATGCTCTGCATAAGAATGGCACATGGAAAGTGGTTTATTTGCTTGAAGGGAAGGAGCCAGTGGGCTGTAAGTGGGTTTACACCATTAAATACCATGTTGATGGCTCCATTGAGAGGTACAAAGCTAGGCTGGTTGCAAAAGACCATACACAAACCTATGGGATTGACTATCTGAAGACCTTTGCTCCTGTTGCAAAAATGACATCTGTGCAAGTTCTACTACTATCTTTGGCTGCTCATTCAGATTGGCCACTCTATCAGTTTGATGTGAAAAATGCATTCTTGAATGGAGAATTACATGAGGAGGTCTATATGTCTCTCCCACCAGGGATGTATGGCACAAATATGGAGGGAAAAGTGTGTAAGCTAAAGAAATCTCTCTATGGACTTAAACAGTCACCTAGGGCATGGTTTGAAAGGATTAGGGCTGCCCTTGTTAAATTTGGTTACATACAAACTCAGTCCGATCATACTCTCCTTGTGAAGAGGAGAGATTCATTGGTGGTATATCTTATAGTCTATGTTGATGATATAGTAGTGACTAGTACTGATGTGACAGGGATTGATGATCTTAAATCTTTCCTTCATATAGAGTTTGAGATCAAAAATCTGGGGGAGTTAAGGTATTTCCTTGGCATAGAAGTGGCTCGGTCTAAGGATGGAATTTTTATCTCTCAACGAAAGTATGTGCTAGACTTGCTCACTGAAACAGGCAAGATGAGTGCAAGACCAGTGGCTACTCCTATTGATATGAGTCACAAACTTTCTGCCTCTGATGGAGAACTATTGAAGGATAAGGGAGTGTTTCAAAGGTTACTTGGGAAACTGCTATATCTTTGCATGACTCGGCCTAACATTGCATATGCTGTCAGCGGCATTAGCCAGTTCATGCATGCTCCCAAGGACACTCATATGGCAGCTGTAGAACAAATTTTATGTTATTTGAAGAGTACTCCTGGGAAGGGAATTCTTTTTGCTAAGCATGGTCATATGAAACAGGAGGCTTACATAGATGCTGACTAGGCGGGAAACATTGATGATAGGAGGTCGACTTCTGGATACTGTAGCATGGTGGCAGGTAATATTGTTTCTTGGAGAAGCAAGAAACAATTAATTGTTGCCAGATCTTCAGCTGAGGCCAAGTACAGAGCTATGGCTCATGGAGTTTCCGAGTTATTTTGGCTTCGATCCTTGATGGAGGAACTAGGTGTTGAGTATGATAAGCCATTAATGCTATATTGTGATAATTAGGCCGCCATCAACATTGCTCACAATCTGGTGCAACATGATAGGACTAAACACATTGAAGTTGACAGGCATTTTATCAGAGAAAGAGTGGCTTCTGGAGAAGTTTGTCTACCATTCATTTCATCTAAAGAACAATTAGCTGATATTCTTACCAAGGGAATCTCCAAGGCCAAACTACAACATGACACTGGCAAGCTGGGCATGACTGACATCTATGCTTAGCTTGAGGGGGAGTGTAGAGAGAATGGGCCGAATGGCCCATACAATGCTTTTATTTGTTTATGTTGTTAATGGACCTTCTAACTTATGGGCCTTTTTTTATGTTATGCTTAATTAAGTTAATCGCCCAATTAAGGGCCTCTTTATAAATATCAAAACTTGTAAATTATGTTTTAATGAAAAGGATTAGGGAAGAGAGAAAACATTCGACATATTTGCCGCCAACTTCTTATTCTTCTTCTCTCTCCTCTTCTCTTTTTGTTATCTAACATCTTTTCACAACTTTTAAATCAGTCATTTCATTCCTTGGGACTGTTTTTCTTCTAGTACTAGACCTTGTTTTAAGGTATCTCCCATAATCATTTTAAAAACCACTAGGAAGTCATTATTTTTTACTAAGGGTCTGTTTGGTTTGCGGACAGAACCAAAATCAGAATCGGAATTGGAATCACCTATTCCTAACGCATGTTTGGTTCAATTAGGAATCAGAATTGGATTCCGATTGTTGCTATTTGGCTCAGTTGGAGTTTGAATCACAATCAACAGAAAATTTTCAATTTTGTATTAGTCTATTTATTATTTTATTATTACTTTATTAATATTTTACGAATATATAATCATTACTTTATTAGTACCTTGTTATTATTATTTTATTAGTTCTTTAATAAATAATATCTTAGTATTTACCAATAATTTATGAATACTTTATTAACAATAAAATATTATTATTTTATCATTATTTTCTTATTAATTTACTAATATTCTATTATTTTCTTTATTATTGAATAATTAATATGTTAGTATTTTATTATTACTTTAATTATAAAACTTTAAATTTATTTGTACTTAATTAGAATTATTTAATAAATAATATTTTTTCTTTTTATTATTATTTTATTAGTATTTAACAATTAATATCTTAGTATTTATCATTGATTTATGAATATTTTATTGATGCATCATTATATTATTATTACTTCAATAATATTTTTATTATATTTTATTAATAATTATTACTTTATTATATCTTATTATTATTTTCTACTATTTTGTTTATTATTTTAAAATTAATTTATTAATATTTAAAAAATAATATGCTAGTATTTTATTATTACTTTAATTATAATATTATTAATATTTTATTTGTACTTAATTACTGCCATGATTATCATTTAATAAATAATATCTTTGCTTTTTATTAATATTTTAGTAGAGTACTATTATTTTATTATTATTTTACCATTACTTTAACTATATTGTATTTATATGTTGTTTATACTTATTATTATATTTAATAGTTAATATCTTTGTTTGTTATTATTCATTTAGTAATGTTTTATTATTTTATTAATAATATATTATTATTATCTTAAAATTTAATAATATTTTATCATTTTATTAATATTAGGGTTTGGGGGTTTTTATCATAAGTTCTTCTTGACAGACTCTGGAATGGCCATTCCCCCAAGAATGGGAATCGGAATCCCATTCCTACCTAACAAATAGTTGCCATTCCAATTCCACTTCCAGGAAACCAAACGGACCCTAAAATCTTTTGATGAGTYTCTTTTATTAAGTATGTGTATTCATTATAATTCTAGAGTTTCTTTTCATATATGGTAGTATAAAATAAGGATTTAAAGTATAGCCCTTTCAACATCCTTTGGAAATTCAAAGTCCATTTCCTTTTTTTTTTTTTTTGATCAATAAAGTCCATTTCCTTCACCAGTTTTAAAACTGTAAAACATGGTATATATGATATGGTAATTTTCTGGTGAGCATCATACCTTCAATATATCAAGGTCTTCCTGCATAAATTGGAAATCTGTCTCAGAAAAGGCACGGGAAGGTCCTCCATCCAACAACACCCAAACAAAGCCTTCCTGAATAAGGAATATTCAAATTTAAATACAGAAAAAGCTGAGACTGATCAGCTAGATTATGAGGGTCAGGCAGTACCAGTGATGCTCGACAAACACTTAAAATAACCATATCTCTGAGAATATCAATGATCAAATCACATATGTAGTCAAGGATCTATATCAACACAATCCAAGGGTTATAATGAGTTCACTAGGAATGAAGTTTAAAAAAGAGATAACTCTATGAAGTGTAATAGTGTCAAAGAGATTATTTTTAACTTCACTAGATAACTAGCTTACAGAATTAAGTTGTGGGAGAATGCCATCTAAGCAAGCACTTTCAATATCACCTCGATACAAAAGAAGCAGGAATGAATCTCTCAGGTCCCAAAAGACAACCCTTGCCCCTAGAAAATTATTGGACACTGGTTAACACCCTCTGCCATCATCAAAACTCTAATAACTTGAGGAATTACAATTTAATAGAAAATCAATGAATTTGAATTGAACAATCATCTATATGATCACCAAAAATAATGCTGATGAGGCTCTCTCTACATGTTTACTCAGTTCAGTTCAGACAGTTAAAAAATTGAATATATTGAAAGAGCAGGAGCATTGTAAGAAAAGCAARCAAGCCACAAAAAAATGAAGTAAAAAAACAGATACACAGAGAACCTAATACTTAATGTGGTTGAGTGATTTGCCTACTTCCACAGATGAAATCCTGTGGAACTTCTCTATATTCTCAAATGGAATTTACAAACCTAGCTTCTTTAGCACCAGAAGAACATAGAATATCTCCATTAACCCTAATGTGATCCCAATAGAGAACATATATGCATAGATAGATGGTACATGAAATACCATACTACCCCTTTCCATTGTATGAACAATTTCTAACTGTGGGTCACCTTTAGTCACCCAAAGCCTAGAAACTTGACGTATTGTCTAGCAAGCTACAAGCCAAAGCCATTGGGTTGATGTATCACCACATGCTGATCACTTTTATTAGCTCCAACAGCTCCACTAATGACATCATTAGCACTCTCTTTTGAAGGAGAGGCATAATTGTTTAGAAGAGTCAATAATCCTATGATAAATACATAAAGAGATCTGACTCCCATTGGTGACAAGCTAAATTCTACGAAGACAAGTGATGGTCTACCTAAGGAGATACCCAGCAGGTCAGTATATAAAGGTAACATACAGAAATTTTGGAACTTCTGATGTGTCAAAACAAGCCAGTAAAAATGCAGAGGAATAATCTTCCATGCAAGCTTGATATCTCACCCATTTCAAATATTTGAGATGCATTTCCTTATGGATATGTTCACCCTGTGGAAATTTCCCAGAAATATCAGGTTTCAAAAGAAAATTAAAAAGCATTTGAGATCCTTGAGTGGGATTATTACCACTGAAAATCATTCTAATACCCTTTACCTAATTCAGTAGAGAGAGAACTGGCCACTGGTGGAATATTAGAATCTGAGTTACAGAATACTTATGCACATGCATTAAAGAACTCCAAAAAGGCAATGGCAAATTCAAGGATAAGTTTTCGCCAACCACAAGAATTGATGGAGCACCTAATTCAAATCAGTAGTGCCAATGTTGATTCACAATTCCAAGCCCATTCCACAACAACATCCAACCAAGCAGAAAATTAAAATTGCAAGTTCCAAAAAAATTATCCCAGAACTTGTTCACTGGAAGATGAAGCATCACCTTGGATTTCATAGTTAGGATGTCAAACATCACTTTTGTAGCTTGTCTGTGCTTAGGGAACATAACAAGATGAATTAAAACCACAACTAATCCATAAATAAACAAAATTATTTTCAAAGCATAAGCTTGTAAAAGCACAGGTTATTAACTTAAATAGGTGCAAACAGTAGAGAAAAAGAAGAGAAGAGAAAGACCAAAAGAATAGAAGGAATGCCTTCTTGGGTACATGCCCCAATTCATTAACTTAAATATAAGTCAAATAAAATACACATCAAATGACTTATATATCCCTCATTACAAATTAGAGTTATAGAGACAAGACTACCCTCATCATCATATCATTCTCAACAAGATTTTTATCTTGTTTTAGTAAAGCATTAGCATACTTGAAGCATCACTTTCTAATGCCTTCTCTTGGTAATTTCCTTAATTGCTGCCTCTTTCTTTCTAGAACACTCATATGAGGTCAAGGTATTGGGGATGTTGGTGGCTCAAAGTCCATTCTTGAAAACTTTAACTTCAGCCAGCACAAGGGATGCATTAAGAAAAGCATTTAGAGGGCCAAGAAGGGGCTAATTCGAGGATTCAAGGAAGCAATTTCTTACCAGATTACCAGCATTCTCTAACAATCTCCTAGACCTGGTTCTCATAAGGTCTAAACTATTTCCCTTTCCTTTTTTTCTTTTTTTTTCAGGGGGGGGGGAAGAAAAGGAAAAGACCTAAGCCATCTCCTTTGATTTTAAACATACTTTCACGGGTTAGCACCATTGAAATTGGAGTTTTTATCCATACAAATATATATTTTATTTTTGGATTCTTCCAACATCAAGAACTTCAAGCATCTTGGATAGATCCTAAGTTCCTAACAATAGCAAGCCACATTGTAGTAAAGGCATACGAAAAGYACATTAGTTGTTGGTAAATTGATCATCATTCAAGATTCAGTGCAGTGTCTACTCAGCTTCTATCTTGATCTATATCTATGAATCTATTTGCACACAAGAAGTCATTGCACAAAAAACATCATAGGTTTAAATTGAACACTGTTAATACTTACATCTTGAGGCTTGAGGGAAATGCTTTGATGATCAATTTGAGGCTCAGATCTGAATGTGTAGCCACATTACACCTTAAGATGTCTTGTTCCAAGAACATGTGTGAAATACATTAACGAAAGTAGGCTTCTCATCATAAAAATAACTTATCTGTATATAGATATGTTATTTATGTTTACATTGGGTAATGTATCTATAATTTAACATATCTAAAACTACTTTCAAGTATAAACTATAAACTTAGTTTCAATGCTGTTTTATCAAAGGGCTTGTAATAAGTGATGGGTTTCTTTAAAGTTTCTTTAAAGTTTCTTTAAAGTTTCTTTAAAGCTCCAAATATTCTTATGGTCCTTGTTTATGTGATCATTAATTCATTTTGTCGGCAAGATATGATTTGCGGCAAATTAAGAAA